AAAATCGAATATTCGAATATTCGTTTATTTAAATGACGTTTAACGAAAAAGACGTTATTTTTTAAGTTACATTTTTTTTTCACGTTTTTGTCACCACTTCTGAACAAGCTTACAATTAGGCAATATACATAACAAGCTTACAATATATGTTAAAGTTTTCTTTTAGTAGAAAACATTAAAGGGGTCATATAATGGTACATGCACTTTTACAAGTTGATTGTACTGAAATGTGTGTTGGCAGTGCCTGTACACAACCATCATATAATGATAAAAATCCATCCAGTGGTTTTGTTTTAATCTCCTTATATGTTTTCCCCTGCCTCAAATCGAGCCGTTCGTTTTTGTCAATAAAACGGACGCCCCTCCCACGATTGTTGATTGACGGGAGCGTTTCAACACAGACCCGCCCTCGCACATGAGGTAGCTGTCAATCATAGTCTGCGCGGCGCGGACCGGACCGGCGTGGTCATTGTTGATATGCTGGAGCAGTGTCTATGAGCAGAATGGCGTCTAAGCGATTGTGGTGTTCTGTTCTTGGGTGTAATAACAAACACAGTCATTTTAATGTTCCTGAATCCGAACCGCTGAAGACGCAGTGGCTGAGTTTTGTTTTCGAAGGGAATATTCCACACGAGCAACGTCAATGCTTTCATGTTTGCGCGAATCATTTCACACACCAGACTGCTTTATAAACGAGGATCAGTATAAAGCTGGATTTGCTAAGAAGCTTTGCTAAAAAGGATCGGTATATTCGTGTTCCTGCTGAACCTCCAGAAGAACGGAAGTGAGTGAAACGTTTTATTAAACTTTATATTAATATATTAATCTTTGCAAATCGCTAGCTGCACGCTTCACAATGAATGCATCTAAGGTTTACACTCAGTCAGGGTACATTACGGCATGTTTTCTTACAATACTAATGAAAATTTTTAATTAAAGTATATTACAAACTTTTAATTTAGACCCTAAAGAATCATATTAGCTTGTACAAAAATGGCATTATATGACCCCTTTAAATAGTAGGCCTATGTGTAAACAAAAAATATAAAAAAACAAAAGCATTAAAAGCATGCTTAAAGTCCCCGTGAACCGGAAGTTGCAAACGACTTTTCTCCAGTGTTGTGACGTATTTCCGAGAGAAACGGAATACTAAAAGAGGCAAAATGGTGGGCGTGGCTTTTTCCCCAACTAGCACCTGATTGGATCTAGAAAAGTAGGTGTTTTCATTCAGCCTGTCTACTGTCAGTTGGAGGGGCGTGGTTACGGATGTTAAGAAGACGCCCAAACCGTGAAACCTACGTCATCAGGCAAGGTCCTCCAACGCAGAGGGGAGGGGAAATTTCAGATTTTGATTAAAGATTACGAAGCCAAAAATTTTTTTTGTGTGGATTGACTTGCATGGATGAATTGTTCACCACAAAACGATCAATTTAGGCAAACAAAGTAAGTATGGTCAATTTTGAATTCATGGGGACTTTAAGCAGCGCGAACGGGGGAAAAAAACGCCTAATAAAGCAGATTGCGCCAGATATCGTACAGAACGTACACACACACACGAGTCAGCATATGATTATCGTGTTTATATTGTTTCACGTTTTTATTGAGAATAGGGCTGCAACGATTAGTCGACGTTGTCGACAACGTCGACAATAAAAATTTGTCGACAAATATCTTTGTTGTCGAGTAGTCGTTTGATCTCACGTGACCTAATGTAAGGGCCTGCAATCCCGCGATTTGACCGCTACGCTGCTGTAGCGCTAGAGTGTAGTGCAGCCCTTACAAATGCTATTGCGGTAGAAGAGAAAACAGCGCGAATTATGACAGTGCAAAAGAATCCGAACTAGCAAGGTTTAGGTTTGGGAAAGTTTCACAAAACTTCAAATCAAGAATGCTGTCGTGTGCAATTTTCACGGGAGCACAACATGCATGTTGGAGTGCAAGAGGAAACATCCCGGCAAAAGAGGAGCCGGTGAGAAGTGAGTGTTCTCCAGCTGGAGCTTAGCCTACTAACCAGCGGTAAATCTCTCTTTATTAGAGAATGCAATACTACTAATAATAGTAATAATATTATCAATAGTAATATAATTACAGTAATGTGATGACTTATTTTGGATAGAATAAAGCTTGATCGAGCTTAGGAGTCAGGGCTGTTTTTATTATTGTAACACTATTAGTATATTAGGTATTATTATAGTCTTATCACTTGCCTGTATTTTGTTCAATAATCATGAAGACTTACAAAACGAGATGTTATATCCTTCCTATGACATAGGAAGAATATCATGGCAGTTACTTTATCATACTATAAATTAAAAGGTGAATGAGAACGTCTCTGTCAGCTCAATTGTCATGTAAAAAAAGATTGTAATTTTATAATTATAATAATTGTTTGCAGATTCATATTTTACCATTCTTTGTGTCCTGAAGTAAATGTCCCTTTTTCTGTTTCAGTTCTAAGAAAAGCAGTGGGCCTATTAAACAATGCTTAGAGAGCATTTGTGTGTGATTTGAGTTGGACCGAAATCTGAAAACTTAAAGAGAATGACCTGTTTAGTTGGCTCAAAGTTCATTAAAACAACTATTTCAAAAGCAGAAGTGATTTTCTTTTTTTATATTATAGTTAGAATATGTATAACTCAATGTTTTAACTACTTGGAAAAGCTGAATAATCGTTCAAAACTTACTGATTAGTCTGCGAAATAATCGACGATTAGTCGATTAATCGTTCTAATAATCGTTAGATTAATCGATTATCAAAATAATCGTTTGTTGCAGCCCTGATTGAGAAAAACAATGTCCACATGCAGGGGCGCCGCCAGCAATTTATGCTCGAGTGAGAAAAGGCGCTTCGCTGACAGACGCTTCAGAGACACAAAGATAACGGTACGTGTTCTAAGTTTCTAACAGCACTTTGCGTTTTCTGTTCTTAAACCTGTCTCCCTCAACGAAACTTAAAGGAAGTATATGTCTCAAAATCATTGTGCTATAAGATAAGTTATCATTTCGGATCACGCGGGGTCCAGCTGCGCTTACCTGCAGTCGTGAATGCAGTGATGGACAGCTGTCTTTCCTCATTCGACTGTTTGGATTTCATGTGATTTCTCATTGTGTTGATGATATTATAACTCAGATTAATTAATTAATTCGATCAAAAGTAATTCCATTTAGTAAGATCATTTTCAAGTAATTCCAAACTTCGCGAGGCAGACGACAACATTATGTGATCAAATACACACAACTTGTTAATACACTCCACAGCGCCACCCAGTGCATTTAATTATAACTGCGAGTTAGTGCTTGGGATTTATCCATAGACAGTAAAAGAAATGGACAGAGCGACCCCGTTGATTTCAACGGAGAAGACTGAAGCCCGATTATTGCACTTCCTGTCTGATGTCTGAGCGACTGCGCAGGCTCAAACTGAGCTGTACAAGCTAACTGAACAGTTGTAAATCTTCTAGTAGCTGTGCCAAGACAAATCTGAATCACCTAATTCCTCAAAAACTTTGTTGAAATATTTTGTCCCATTGCTTTTATGGACTCTCTATTTATGGGCTCCTACCTTGACTTTGTGCCTCCATGTCCCCCCGATTGCCTCATAGACAGTAAAAGATTGCCTGCGAGCTTCTCCTCCTGTCTATACGGTAATGTCTCTATTGTGCGACAGAAAGTCCCGTGGTTATGACGCAATCTTTAGCCTATTTTTAAAAAAACTGCTTCTACGGGGCCATAACGTAAGATACAAGGTAATGGAGCCTTTTATGCATTGTCGTGTTTTTCTATAAATAAATCATGGACAAATGGAGTCTTTAAACGCCTCAGATGTAAAGTTATTCGCTGTCAAAGTGACACTAAAATGAATGGGAGTCAATGGGATGCTAACAGCAGGTGATGGTCTGCTACGATGGCGGCTCCCGCGAGGCTTCAACTTCCGGCTGATGGATTACCCCCTTGGATTTATCATGGATTCACTGCATTTACGGCCGGGCCAGCAAAGCAATGTAGTAAAATTCGAATAGTATTTTATTTTTCAAATAATAATTACAGATCGAATATTCGAAAATTCGAATATTCGTGCACATCCCTAATCTATTATAAACTCAATTTCTGCATATTATAAGACTGATTTGAAATAAAGTTGCCAAAATTAATATCCATCTATCTATCCATCCATCCATACATAACAGATATATAAATAATCATGTGATATGTGGGAATAGTTGTCTGTGATGGGTAGGTTTAAGGTTAAGGGGATACAACAGTTTGCATAGTATAAAAATCATTACGTCTATGGAAAGCCCCCATAAAACATGAACATGGAGACCCTGTGTGTGTGTGTGTGCGCGCATACACAGGTATTGATTACATGTCGTGTGCAGTGAGTAAGCCCACTTGATGAGTCACAAATGGAGCATGATTATGAGGGGTTCTGTTTGTTGACCTTCTCATACAGATCTATCAGTGCCATTTTGTTTTGAAGGATAATAAAATGCGCTGCTCAAGAATCTGCAGTGTGCATGTGGAAATTCGTGAAAAATATCATTGCCTTATTCGAGAAAATAGTATACATCATTCAGAAAAGAAACATTCAGATTTGGTAGAAGCGTGTGAATATACGGCCATTAGCTGAGTGGGTGGGGAAATCTAGATATCTGTTCCTGTCAGGAAAATATGAAAATGTTATGACACTTTGGTAATGACAAGGTTTCTATGACAACAGTGTCTGTAAGACTGCAAACTGCAAAGCCTTGTTGTTATTGGCAAATTAATGCATACATGCATTATGGTCCACGGAGGTTAAGCATTCATTTGGGTTAGAAGCTGAAAGTTATACAGCCATTTCTCTCTATTCACATCAGTGACCCTGCACACTCATTTCAAAACAATTTAAAAGGGTTGTATAATACATATCCATGTGGATTTCCAGTTAAATGTACAGTAGGCATTGCAAAGTGTTTACATGAATCTGATTTATTAAAGCAAAATGCAAGAACACTCACTTGGGTCAGACAGGATGGAATCAGTCTTGGGCAGGAACTGGTCACAGCGAATGCCCTGGAAACCCTCTTTACATCTGATTTGGAAAAAAAGAAAGCCACAGTTAGTAAAAAGTGATTTAACAGAATTTTTATCTAAAGCGATGTATTTTAGGGACAGGTTCCATGGGGTTAAGAGTCGTGCTTGGATTGTTCCTTGTGGGGATAAAAGCAGCAACCGTTTGGCTTTACTATTGAAACAAGTGAGTATTTTAACATTTCTGGATTGTCCTCATTCACTTCCATTGTAAGCAATGTTCTTATTGTTTACTACAACTAAAACAGTAGTAAAAAAAAAAATGTATTTGTAAAAAAAAAATGTATTTGTTATTTGAATTAAAGCTGTATAAAATAATATAATAATAAAAGAAATGAAAAATGAAAATTTGAAATATTGTCTTGGCAATACTAAATAAGTTAAAGGAAGTTGAAATACTAAAACTGAACTGAAATAAAAATAAAAAGGTATAAAGAAATAATCAAATTAAAATTAAAACTGAAAAAAAAACCTAATTAAAATATTAATAAACTAATTCAAATATTAATACATTTTATGATCAGATTTGAATTATATCAAAATAACACTGGTTGCAAAACTTTATTGCAATCCAGATTTGAGGAAAATATTTTTTGTGGTAAATAAGATTTGTTGTTTGCGCTTAACTTGTATTGAACTTGAAGTATTCTTTTAAACCACTAAGTCACCCCACCACTCTAATTAAACACTTTTCAGGGGCCAGGATGTTCCCTGTGCATCTCATAACAATAAAACTCCTAGACATAGAAAGCCAATCAAAGTGAAAAATGTTCAAGGGTTTTGGGGAAATCAGATGGGAGATCCAGACGTGCCATGTCACGCATCAGTTGCAGATGGCTGAAGATTGATTTGTAAATACATGGGCACAGTGAGTTTGCTGATTTTCTACTTCAACAAAGCCCTGACTGCTCAAATAAGTCTTCTCAGTGTTCACTAAATATGGAAATGAAATGCTTGTCTTTAATATATGAAATATGCATGCCATGTCCCTCCCAGCCAAGCTGTTTGCTCTCTCTCCAGCTCTCTTGCTCATGTAACTGCCCATGTGTTTCTCGCTCTTCCCCGCTCTCTCTCCATCCTGTCATCACTTTATCCTCATTTTTCCCTCACTTCTTGACTTTTCAAAGACACTGGAGGCTAATCCTGCTTTCAGCTGGTTGAGCCAGGAGAGCAATGTGACAAAGAAAAATGTCCCTGGCTCTAAATGGCACAAACAGAGCATATGCATAAGCCATGCGCACGAGCCTCAACAGATAACACAAGCCTTTGTTGTCTACAGCACATTTCATCCTTTTACAGAGGATCAAGTACTCAATTTAATGCTGCATATTGCTTATACTGTATGTTCCCAAGTTCCCAACTGAAACAATACATTTTAAAAGACAACATAAATAAAGATAATGTATTCGGGTGGCTCAGCAGCTTTCTCTTTGTATTCTGTGTGGCTTCTAAAAAAGAATCAGCACACGTAATAATAATAGTTCAATAAACAAGAACATCTTAGGTGTTTTCACACCTGTAGATTGTTTGCTTTATTCCAAAACAGAGACTTAAATTGTAATATTTATAGCAAGAGTAAAGGCTTCATCAGGACAGGATTCTTGCAATGCACCTCATGTTTCAGAGAAGAGCAATGGAAATAGGTGCTCTTTGATTTTCAACTGGGATAAGTAGTAATGGAGTCACCCAGAGAATCAGACACTGCTGCTTTTTACGTAACATATTTCCTAATATGAATTATGATACTGCTTGGTTTGTCGGTCCGTTGGTTCAAACTGCTTTTTTTACTACATGAACTGCTCCAGAGTTCGTTTTCAATATGGCCGAGGCCACCTCATTCAGGTAATCTTAGGCCGATTTCTTTGGTGTGAATCCGAGCATTATTGCTGTGTTCACTTTATATAGGCCTATGAAGAAACAATCCAAACGAAGGGGAAAAAAACATGCCAGGTATCGGAAAAAAGAAATCCTCCAAACGAGGAAGGTATGAAAACGCCCTTCGACAGAATATTGCCAATCTCTTCGTCTGTTTTTTCTCTGCCATTGACAATAGTCCCAAATAAAGCCATAGTAGACACTTTGCAACACAAACAGTAGTACTTAGTGGTGTTTTATCCTTGCTTGAATCAGTGTGCTGAATGAATAATTGAATTATTCACTCATAAAGACAGCCACTTGTATTGTTCCAGAACGAATCAGTGTTTTGAATGAATCGGTTGAATAAATGATTCAATTACTCAAAGACAGGCACTTGTCACCACCACCCACAGACTTGACCGTCTGTCAGGAACTTGCACACTCAGAAGTCTCAGTCCTGGCCGATCGCCCAACCTAACTAACTTACTTCACAACATTTCCCAAGCCGTGAATTCTCCTAAGTGAATTATTTTCAGTGACTTTCTTTTTGTCATGTACAAATTAAGCACTGTTACAAATAATGTGTTTCTGTGTTCATGGAACAGACTTTCATTCTGTATCGTTCCGATTTTTTCCTTATTACCGGAAGAAAAACAGAAAACTGATGAAACTGAATAATTCTGAATACATTTGAATAATTGTCTTTTCCCAGTCAAAACTGTAAATCCTAAGCGTACCAGCAAAAAATAAGCACGGCCTCATTCATAAAACACAAGCAGAACAACTTTCTATGTGAATTGTCTATAAAACCAATCTTACATAAATTGTCAACGTGTCAATTAACATACAGTAGGCACGATTTTCCAAATGATTCACAGAGAAATTTGTTCTTCTCATGTTTCCTATTAATAAAAACAGTCATAGAATTTTTACACCCTTGTCCAATCTGATGTTAACAATCATCATCCCTCACTCTATAGTGGAAATCTACATACGACTAATTTAATGTAACTGTCATAAACGTCACTGGTAAAGATTTTACACTAATTGCACACAAGGAGCTATATAGTCAGTAATCAAATCAGCAGTGCAAATGAGTGACTGTGCGCTTTACATAGGTCATCCCTGAAGTATCTGTGGTCAATTAATCGTTCCCCAATTAATGTGTCCACAGGCAAGCAGAGCTGATAAAGATCTGTGAGATAAGACACTACAGTACAAATTTACAGGAGGAGGATCATTAAAAGAGAGATCAAGTGCTATGGCAGCATTGTGAGGAACAGTCATTATGGGCACAGTATGAGCTGTGGCAATTGGCAAACAGTAGCAATTAAAATGTGGGGAGTGGATGGAAAGAGGTGGAGGTGTGGAACTGTGCCCAAGAGACCACATTTGGGCTGCTTCTCCCCTTTTATCTCGCCCAGCACAGACATTTTGTTCACAGGCTTGATTTATGTGTAAAGATGATACGTTTAACGCAGTAGGAAGCTTCCTGTTGCTCAGCATACAGTTGAAGCGGAGGTCTTTCTTTCATGCAAAGCTTTTCTTTTCTCTCGTGCACATTGTCTTCCATGGCTGAGTGTTTAGTTTCGTTTTATAACTTGAAAATTTTTAATACTTCTCGACAAAGCATGCCAATGTCTTTGAATTGACTAGGCTACGGTCAAACCTTTTATTTCTATTGTTCTGTTCTTTTTTCTTTACTCCATGAGGCCGTGTCATGTTACAGGACTCCCAGTGTGAAATCCTTTTTTACCGCATAATATAGACTTATATGTCTTTGTCACTTTTACGCTCCTCCCAACCCTATAATTTTCCTTGGAAATTTTGCAATTGAATATTCATTAGTCTCTGAGACCTGCAAATGAAAATTTTAATATTTCTCAAGGACTCAGAATGTATTGAGTGTTGCACAGCTTTTAATTAGCACCACAGTCATTAATTAGCAGGAACAAATGGGGGAGGGGGACGGGATGCTGGAAGGAGGTGTAGATCATTTTAACTAAGAGGCAGCTTTACAGGCACAGATAAATATAAATACCAAGCCTCCAGCTGTCAGATTCTTCCAGAATGTGAGAAGAACATGCACATTTAACTATGCACCGCTAATGATTAGGCTTCAGCATGTTTATCACAACTAGAGAACTATGTGAACCCATTTATGAAGTTTATAATTTCATAATGGGAAACGTAACAGACAACAGTACAGAAGCAAGATGCATAAATACTAATTAAAGCAACCTGATAGTTTATCATGAGAACCTTTAATTAAAAGGAATGAGATCTGGAGTATGTTTCCATGCTACTCACATAGGCGTTTTGAGATTTAGATCAAGCTGCTGTGTTTGATCATGTTATGTTCACAGCTGTTCTGTTTATGTTTTATCCAAAGAGAGGCAAATAACCTTAGTGCATATGGACATTTTTTAAGATATTTTATTTGCTGCATAAGAAATTACTCCACAAATCATTCACACTGAAGTTCTATGAGCAACAGCAAGCATCAAAATGACCTGACCATAATACAATATATACACTACAGTATTTTAACAAGTCTTTTTGCAGGTTACATTGTTATGCCAGCAACAAGTGCTTCTTTATAAGCGAGTCATTTGAATCAGTCACTCAACTGATTCGTTTAAACTCGCTAAATTCATTCAGGGACGAAACTGAGCTAGTCATTGAATTATTCAACCGATTTGTTAAAAAATGCTGATTCAGTCAGGAACAAAACAAAGAACAGTCTTTCATGAGTGAGTCAGTGAATCATGCCCTTTACCGATATGTTTAAAACAATGTCAACACCGTGTGTTGCTAGGGGAAGTGTGGAATTGGATGCTGCTGTTGCTTCGTTGAAGTTATATTAAAAACTTAGCTTTAAAACACATATTACCAAAATATCTGGAAATAATGCTTCTAAAAGGAAATTTTCTCAATATTACTGTTGTATAAAAGCAATATCACACTGTTTTTCTTGATTATCAGCATGGTTGTGATTATCTGAAGCACTCCGACAAAATAGCAACCTATAGGCTATAGCAGAAAATTAGACTAAGCTTTGTGTATATGTCTTAATTGACAATATTTGGAGAGTTTGAATTATAGAACAGACCTAATTTTAAACCTAATTAAAAGAGGCACAAA